GTGCTGCATTCAACTAACTTGTGTCTGGCCCCTGGGTGTATGTGACACGGCATGTTTTCTATGTTTTTCGGCGCTCTTCCTCGGTAGTTGTTACTCTGATAGTTGCCATTACTGTTGTAACTGCTGTTGTTACGGTTGTTGCTATTGTTGTAGTTGCCATTGTGATTGCTACCATTGCTATCATTGTCGTTGCCATTGTATCTTCTTTTGTTGTCTGTGGTTGCCACCATATTGTCCTGCCTTGGTCTTTTGTCTTGCTGTCTGTAATCGGGTCTTCTATTCTCTGGGTTATCCCTAGCAAATCTGTGCCGAGTTCTTTCTTCTGACGAAATTAGCTTCTCAACAACCCTCTTGAAGTCTTCATTTGTTCTTGGGTTCTCATTGAAATAGTCCTTGTATTGCTAGTTTGCCCAGATTCCTTCTGCAAAGGCCTCTATCACCTCCCTGTCAGTAATGTCATGGACTTGAGCCCTGAATTCTCCAAATCTTCTATGGTATTCCCTTAAACTTTCTCCTCTCCTTTGCTTTACTCCTTTCAATTCGGCTACAGTCATTGGATGGGTAATAATGCCTGCGAAGTTGTTGCAGAAAGCTTCCTGCAAGTCTTCCCAATACCTGATTGATCTTGGCCTCAATTTGTTAAACCATTGTAGCGGCATTACTTCGAGGGCCATTGGGAAGAATAGAGCCTTGATGTTGTCGTCTCCTCCAACTAACTCAATAGATTGGGAGTAAACCCTTAGCCATTGTCTTGGTTTGACTTTGCCATCATACTTGGAATGATTTGCTGGTTTAAACTTGTGCGGTAGCTTTAAAGTTTGTAGTCTCCCTGCGAAACAAGGGAATCTGTCATATGGTTTCGTTCTTCCGTAATCTAGCGATCTTGCCCTTCTGTAATAAGACCTATCTTCTTTTAACTCAGACTCTCCGTAGTCATCTTCTTTGTCAAATCTTCTTGATATTTCTTGGTAGCGTTGGCTCAATTCTGGCTTGTCTCTTTCTTGTTGCCTTGAGTAGTGTTCCTTCCTTCCATTGATATCAGCACTTTCTACTGGTCCTATCCTTTGAAAATTTGATTTTTTGGGTGGCTGCTCCCTTTGTGGCTCCTGTGGAATTTCTTCGCCGGGTTGTGTTTCTGATCCCCCGACTTCTTTCCTCTGGTCTTCCTTTGCTTTCCCGTTATTCGTGAGGGTGTACAACTCCTTTGTTAATTCTTCAATTCTTTCCCTTTTTATATTTTTTGTGGCTTCTTTTTCTGCCTTCTTTCTGTTGTATTCCGTTAGCTCCGCCTTGTATTTATTTCAGACTTGCTTCCTTTGTTTAGCCCGGTTTCTCCTTCCAGCTTTCAATTTGTTCTTCTTTAGCCTTGCTAGTCTTTGCTCATCATTTTCGCTGCTGTCGCTTTTCTCATCTGGCGAGATGTTGCCTTCTAATTTGTCTGAAGATTTTATATCTGGTATCTGTGGTGGTTCCAAAGGTTGTTCTGACTGCTCTGCCATGTATATAGTATACCTCTTCCGAGCTCTTCTTGTACGGTATTCCATCCTTCGTTTGGTTGAGCTGTCTGTAGCTTCTAAGCTGGATCCGAGTTCTTTTCCTTCTTGATAAGGTAGTTCTTCAACGCGCGTGCCAGTCTGGGCTTTGCTTGAGGTGAAAGAACCTGGCCAATGCACCACACAATCTTGTGGGGTAACTGTCATGATCATCCCTTCTTGTGCTCCCTCCAGGAGTATTCTTCTTGCTGAGTTCATCTTGTTTTGGGTAAAGTGTTGATAGACTTATGTTGCGTTCTTGCTTGTGATCCAGTAAGTTCCCAAGTTCTTCTTTGAGTTTGTACGGGTCGTATCCCTTCGCGATCGTTGTTGTGTCTCCGAGTCCAATTAAGCTTGGCTCTTGTGCCGTGAAGATTGTCTTGGAATCAGGTTGTATCTTTTTTGAGTCGGTTTCAGATCCGCTTTCTTCCTTATTCCGAGTTGTATCCGGTTGAGAGTTTCGTCATCTTCTCGGTGAGTTTGTATTGAACTTCGTCATCGAATTCTTTTTCTTCTCGAAGACGGGTACGAAGCTTGCTTGTCGCCGTCACCTCTTGAGATCTAGGATCCGAAGACAAAGGTTGTTCCCTTGAAAAGGTCATCTTGAGGTTGAGGTCCGCCGAACTCGAGAAAAAAAATTGTCGAAGCCCCTACTGGCGCGCCCATTGTCGATGTTTTACCACCGATAGCCTACCATGGGGGGGTACCCGGGGACGATTGTTCGGGCTTGGCGAATAGCGGAATTTGACGGTTGCGCAAAGAGACTCACGACGAGCATTGGTTCGAAGCCACGGACTTGGTCGAGTAATAACCTTACGCCCCGATTTTGGCGTTAGCCTGCTTTTGCGTTGTATTGCTTTGACTATTGGGTATGCGTTCTCCCTTTACAATGGATACCCTCACCAGCCCTTTATAGTCCAGGCGCTGAGAGGCGTTGTTTGTGTCCTATTCGGATACAAGGTCAGAGTCCTAAGCTACGCTTCGGGTGCCTTTCCTTGTATAGTTTGCGTTGGAGTTTCGGTTTTGCACGTTGCTTTGCTCCGCGTTCTTCTTGGTGATTGGACTGTAGGCCTTGCTACCAAGGCCTACCTCCCTGCAGTATGGTCTATGGGGGGCCCGTAGGGTTCCCCATCGATAGAGAGCTCACATTTTGTCATCCCTGAACTTTCGGGCTAGTTCCACCCCTAGTGGTGAAGAGGGTCACTTGTGATATGTGCTACACCAAGAACAACGATGGCTTCTTAAGATTGTGGGAGGTGGATGGAGCTTGCTAGAGGAAGGTGATCTCTAGCAATGGTGTAGAAGAATCTGGTTGCACTGTGGAAGTTTGGGGTTCGCTTTTTTTTGCATGAATTCCAGTACTAATGCAGACGATGCTTATATACATGCACACACGCTCACCCTTGTGAAACACATATACATACATGCTACCTCTATGAGCATCTTCGATTGTTCACACTCCATCAATAAATGAAAAAATGAGAAAAGATAATTATTAGTCCACAATGTAAGCATATGCCTTATTTCAAAAGTCATTTTGTATCTACGAATATGAGAAAAGAAACACATACTTTTTATTTGGTATAAATATATGACAAAATGGAATGTTTTTGATCGTATGACTTTACGAAAGAGTTTGGTTCATTCATGTTTGTTTTAGGAGGAAGATGGTGTCCAAGGACTGAAAGTCAAAGGCCAATACAAACTTTGGGACAAAGAGAGACAAGAGAAGAGAGATGACATCAGAGAAGAAGAAAGAGACGAGGGATTTTAGTTATCCGAGTGGGTTAGGGTTTTTTTTTCAAGTTTGGGGTTCGGGTGTCTAGTTTTGTGGTGGCATCCACAATGTTGATCTAGGATACCATATTCAACCTCTCGAAATGCGCGAGGTTGTTCAATGAAATGCATGGAAGAAATGTTGCCATGTGATTTTGTTGTGTGAAAGAGATGTTATCATGTGTTTTTGCCTATATTTGTTTTGCTTTTCTTGTTGGTCAAGATTTGGAGTTTACCTTTATAAATGTATGCCCATAAGATTCATGCACTTCATATGTGATATTAAAACTTTTAAAATCAAGTTTAAAATTTGATGTTTGAATAGAATAATCTTACTAAATATGTACTATACAAATTAGGTCAAAAAAGTATAGGATCCAACTTGAAAAATTTGAGGTCTAAAAAAACAAATACCATCTCACTAAGAGTCGACTTGAAAAATTATAGGATCCAACTTGAAAAAGTTACTTCCCTCTCGTTTGTGTTTACTTGTCAGCAACTTTTTACTGTAGCAAATTTGACCATCGTTTTTTCTTCTAAAAAAATCTTAGATACTTCAATGTATATAACACTAATGAAGTATGTTCAATAAAGAATCATATATATAAAAACTTGATGTATCTAAAAATTTTTTGCAGAAAAAAACGTATGGTCAAAATTGCTACAGTAAAAATTCGGTGACAAGTAAACAAAAACGGAAGTAAGTAGATTAAAAAATAAAAACAAGTACCTGTGAATTGATCACATCAAATCAAAGACCGCCTATATGTTCCCAGGAGGGCAGGGCTAGAAAACACGTTTTGTCAGATCCTAGTACTATTCAACGTAGCGACAAAATCTTCTCTCTTTCTTGCGTGCAAAGACAGTGAAAAATGTGACAAAGGACAATTGGTCCACAATGCATGTATGTAAGCCTATATATGCCTGCCTTTTAAAAAGTCAGCTTTGAATGTGGCAAATTATGTAAAAAAAAAGTGGAGCGTAAGCTCGTGCCTTTATTATTATCGAGAGATGTTGATGCTTGTTTGTTTCGAAAGGAGGAAGAAGATGGTGGTCAGAGCCCCATGGCACTTCAGCACGCAGTTCCGTGCATTGCATTTGCACCATCCCCTCGGCAAGACGGCAATCGCCGACACACACGAGAGAGAAGAGAGCAACAGAAAGGCATGCAAAGGCCAACATGAACACTGCCACAGCCCAGAGGCAGGTAGGACGTTACGCTACAGAGTCCGGCGGCGCCACAGGCGAAACGACACCTCGACCTCCCGAAACGGCACCCTACTTGCATTGCGTGTGGCGGTCAGCTCCAGCCGTTCGCCCGTTGCCCCGTTCGGAGGCGCACCAGGACCTGGCCACTGACACCGCACATGCATTGGCGGCCCTGGCCTAGTGGCCTCCTCCCTCTGCTGCTGAGTTGTGACTTGTGACTACCGCCAGCGGCGGCTGCTCTCCTCACTGCTTGCGTCACCGGCGTCCTCTCCCTCGTATAATAAATAGGCGGTATCGCGCCCACCTCTCTCCACGACCACACATCATCACTCGCTCGTTGCACGCACCCTCGCCACAGCCATGAGCCATCAGCCTCTCACTCTCACTAGCTAGCTTCCAGCAGCAGCAGCTTGTCGTGCAACAGCACCGGGCCAGAGGCCACCACCAGCCGGGGTACGGTTGTTGTTCCGTGACTCTCGCACAATGCCGGCCACGGTGGAGGAGGAGCTCGTCAGTGGGGCGCCGGCGTTGGCGCCCGAGCCGGAGCCGCACTTCCTGGTGGTGACCTACCCGGCGCAGGGCCACATCAACCCGGCGCGCCACCTCGCGCGCCGCCTACTGCGCGCCACGGGGGCGCGGGTCACCGTCTCCACGGCCGTGTCCGCGCTCCGCAAGATGTTCCCGGGCGCCGCCTCCGAGACGGAGCCGGAGAGCCACCGCGACGCCTCGGGGGTGTGGTACGTGCCCTACTCCGACGGCTACGACGACGGCTTCGACAAAGCCGTGGACGACGCCACGCACTACATGGACCAGATCAAGCTCGTGGGGTCCGCCACGCTGGGTGACGTCCTGGACCGCCTCCGCGGCGCGGGCAGGCCCGTCACGCTCGTCGTGTACACGCTGCTGCTGTCGTGGGTGGCCGACGTGGCACGCGCCCACGCCGTGCCCGCCGCGCTCTACTGGATACAGCCGGCCACCGTGCTCGCCGCCTACCTCCACTTCTTCCGCGCCACGGACGGCGTCGACGCGGCCATCGCCGCGGCGGGCGGCGACCCGTGGGCGACCGTCCGGTTCCCGGGCCTCCCGCCGCTCCGCGTCCGCGACCTGCCGTCGTTCATGGTCTCCACCTCCGAGAACGACCCCTACGCGTTCGTCATCGACCTGTTCCGCCAGCTCATCGAGCTACTGGACGGCGAGGACAGCCCCAGCGTGCTCGCCAACACGTTCGACGCCGTGGAGCCCGAGGCGGTGGCGTCGCTGCGGGACCACGGCGTGGACGTGGTCCCCGTCGGCCCCGTCCTCTCCTTCCTCGACGACGACGCGGCGGCCGGCGGCGCCAAGAACGGCGGCAACGACCTGTTCAGCCAGGACGGCAAGGACTACCTCGACTGGCTGGACGCGCAGGCGCCGGGATCCGTGGTGTACATCTCGTTCGGGAGCCTGTCGGTGATGAGCGAGCGGCAGATCGAGGAGGTGGCCCGGGGCATGTCCGAGAGCGGCCGCCCGTTCCTGTGGGTGCTGCGGGAGGACAACCGCAGCAGCGAGGGCGCCGCGCCGCTCGGAGGGGAGCGCGGCATGGTGGTGGGGTGGTGCGACCAGGTGCGGGTGCTGTCGCACCCGGCCATGGGCTGCTTCGTCACGCACTGCGGGTGGAACTCCACGCTGGAGAGCATGGCGTGCGGCGTCCCCGTCGTGTGCGTGCCGCAGTGGACGGACCAGGGCACCAACGCGTGGCTGGTGGAGAGGGTCGGCACCGGCGTCAGGGCCGCCGTCAGCGACAAGGACGGTGTGCTGGAGGCCGACGAGCTGCGGAGGTGCCTCGACTTCGCCACCTCCGAGATGGTGCGCGCCAAGGCCGCCGTGTGGAGGGAGAAGGCGCGCGCCGCCGCGTCGGAGGGCGGCTCGTCGGAGAGGAACCTCAAGGCGTTCGTCGCCAAGCAGATCGCCGGCGGCAACAACTAGGCCAACTCGCTACATACTAGCTCTCGCGCGCGTCGTCGCATGATTATTATTGCTCTATATGCCCACATCAGCTGGCATAGATACTATACAAGACTTAGGATATGGAACTCTACAACTGTACTTACATTGTTGCTCTTGCTGGATTTGGTTCGATTCGAATTAATTACTAAGCGTCTATCATGTACATGTATGTTCATGTCTTCATGACGTGTGTTTTTTCTTTAAAAAAAATCAATGTTCTTCATGAAACTCATTGTATATGAGCATTGAAATGTTGCTAGCTCCATAACGTCCTACAATGTCACTTGCTTGCATGTTTTTTCCCCGAAACACAATACACAGACGCACGTTCACTTACATGTATACGCACTTGCTACTATGGAAACAAGCATGTACACACTCTACCTCTATGAGTGCCTTCGAAATGCTAGACCAGCACATCTTAAAATTGATAGTCACTGTAGACGTCACGTTGTCGATGGACGTATCACCTGTCATTAAAACCTGAATTAGATTTAAAAAAATACGATTGATTACTCCAATTCATGTTCCATCATAAGTCGATGTCAACGTGATAATTTATATTGCGTATTTTATAGAATTCTGACTCCGAATGTTAATTACTATGACTATGTGAGGTGAACTATCGGCATTACGTGAATAATGGAACCAGGGAGGAGTCTCTATCCACTTGACAAGCACATTTTGTTTGAACTAGACGTCTAGACCAGCTGTAGACCATAAGAGACCAGATAGTTTAGACTTTAGAGTCTGTTTGGAACATGAATTATCGATACATAAGAACAGGAAAACAACTGATTAAAGTTGCTCTCATTTACAGATCCTACAGGGATCGAGAATGCATGAAAATTTTCAATAAGGACTTATTTAGATGTATATGTTGGAACTGATGATAGATTAGTTGGTTGGATTTTTTTTTTGTGGAACTTATCCAACCGGGTTTAAAGTTCTCGACTTGGCGCGAGTGCTCATATTTTTCTGGATGTATTTACGATTTAACATCGCTATGCTTTCATGTGTATTTCAATAAGCTCTAGTTTATTAATGGATTTTCTACCTTTTCCTGGGAGGCATGCGTTTCTTGCCGTGGTTTAGATTTTCCCTTTGGATTTTCTATATTTTCTTGTGGCATGCATTTCTTGCAGCTGTTTCAGTTTTATACTGTGATGTGCATTTCTTTGTGATTAATTGTGCAATATTTATCCTACTAATCCCAATGTTTCTTAACGTGAAGAAAAGGAAATTGGTCGGAAATAATTCAGTAATGCTAATATTAACATTTTTTGTCTACACTCTAGATAGTGCACACTCAAGAGAACACAGGGAATAGTCCATTAACATTTTATACTTTTTGCAGTGGGACTTGTTGTTTTAACTGAGAAATGAGGATATGTTGATAGGAATTTTTTTGGATCACTCTTACCAACCATTGGAGAGATAATGTTCTATAGTTTTCTACCATTTTTGCCTGATGAAGGATATTTTCTTTTGCCCCTCCCTGCCTTGTTCTCCCCCACCCTATCACACAGCATCGTCGCCATCAAGTCTCACAAGGGACGAGGAAGATGGCAATGAGAGGTAAGCGTAGGCTACTATTACAAAAGGAATTCTCGCCCCGTTTGTTTGGGCTGCACTAGTAGAGAACAGACCTTTGATCCTCGGCCAAAATGGGCTCTAGTCCCGGCATTTTTTGCGCCCGGGACTAGAGAGACCTTTAGTCCCGGTTGGAGCCACCAACCGGGACTAAAGGTAGACTTTTACTCCCGGTTGGTGGCTCCAACCAGGAGTAAAGGTCTACTCCCGGGCCATGGCTGTGCCGGGGGTTGGAAAGTTACCTTTAGTCCCGGTTGGAGCCACCAACCGGGACTAAAGGTCTTCCCTTTATATCCCGGCCGTCTCCTTCTTCCTCCCTGAGCCCGAGCTCAGCACATTTTGAAGCTCACTGCACTAGTGTTCTTGCTTCCTCCCTCCATTGTTCCTCCATCCATTCTTCGATTCCTCCGTCGATTTCTTCGATTCCTCCGTCGATTCTTCAGTTGTAAAGGTTACCAATCTCATACTCTTATTTTTCATCATTGTCTTATCTCATTTTGTTCACTATATATATATATATATATGGTTCTTTATTGTTGTTTTTTTTCATTTGTAAGCAATTTGAGCTCAAAATCACTTCAAGCTTGCATATTTACATGAAAGAAGGTTAAAGTAGCTAGTTGAACTTGCGGACCGTGTTCATCTTGGCGAGCATGTTCTCTGCCGAGCGGTAACGGACGTCAAGGAGGAGCTTTGATTCTACGAGGGAGAGCGGCAACGGTCGTGGAAGACCGTGTTCCCTTCCTCGTAGAATCGGAGCTCTTCTGTGGCCAAGTACGGTGCCGTCCGGTGGAGAAATGCTCGCTGAGATGATCACGTAAGCAAGGTCAACTATTATGGATGGTTATTTATTCACACGTCCCGATATCGTCGTAGTAGTCTGTCAATCACCGTACCCAAACGTAGTATATATATAAATATAAACGATAATCGATTGTAATGTGTGTACACTTCCATTCTTCTGTTAATTTGCGGAAATATCATGTGAATTACTTACCTGCCGTAGTAAAAGACGAGAACACAATGACCATGGCCACGGCCATGAAAAATGCCAACAACACAACACTAGCAACTTTCTCGACAAGCAGAGTAGTGTTAAACGCTTTGGAAACCTTTAAACTTCAAGCTTGCATATTTACATGAAGGAAGGTTAAAGTAGCTTTTAAAAACTAGTATTCACCGTTCATTTGTAGCATGCATAGCACACTTCATTGTTTAGAGATATAGAGAATTTTAGAGTTTTTTTAATTTTATTTGTTTAAAAAATGAGTATAGAGAGTAGATGGCAACTGCTTCCGGGTCCTCGGCCTCTCATGGGTTTCCAAAGCGACTTAGGCCGGGCCTCCCACTCATTGCATGCGGCAAGTGTTGTGATGAGACGAAGAATGTGATAGAGTACCGAGTGAAGAATGAGGGTCCCAATAAGGGTCGCATTTTCTACAAGTGTCCGGATCGCAATGTGAGTTATTTTATCGTATTTAATGACTATGGTTAGTTTATACCTATTTTCATGATGGTTGTGATTAAAGTTCTAATTTTTTGTTTTAATTTCAGTGGGATGGCACTGGATGTTCAAGCTTCTACTGGGAGGAAGAGTATGTTGAGCTCATGCAAAAATATCTTGCACAACAGGCAGATATGGCGGCTAATGAGGCAGTGATCCAGCCGAAGAAGCCCAAAGCTGTTGAACAAATGGGGGATCTGTCTGTTTTAGTTGGGATTGGTCGCGAAATCCTTGTGCTGCTGAAGTGCATTTTAGCTTTAGTGTTTTTAGTGGTAGTTGGGATTGTCTACATTGTAGCGAGGATTTCTTAAATTTATAGCTTTTGTGGTGGTATGCATGTTGTATAATTAACTAATTATGTTCTAGGTTTTAATAAGGTATTTATGTCATGTAATGCAGATGAGTCGGCATTGGATGTACAATGCTGATCGTCGCTCCCAAGAGTTTATGGACGGCGTGCATTCTTTGTTACGTGCGGCCGAGGCAAACAAACGCGATGGTTTCATGTGCTGCCCATGTGTCGTATGTAAGAATACGGTGGAATATCCTTGCTCAAGGACTCTTCATTCACACTTGGTCAAGTCGGGTTTCATGTCAAACTATATTTGTTGGACGAAGCACGGAGAAACCGGCGTTGTAATGGAAGAAGGTGAAGAAGAACAATAGGACGACAATGATATTATTCCCGATGGTGCATGCTTCAATGATACTGCAATGGGAGAAGCTGAAGAAGAGGTAGCCGCAAAAGATGAGTCTGCTGATGATCTTTGTTAGGTCATTCGTGACGCACAAAGAGAATGTGAAAGTGAAAAGGAAAAGATCAAGTTTGAGCGGATGCTAGAAGATCACAAGAAATTGCTGTACCCAACTTATGATGCAGGGCAGAAAAAGTTGGGAACCACACTAGAATTGCTACAATGGAAGGCAAAGAATGGTGTATCTGACAAGGGATTTGGAAAGTTACTAAAAATCCAAAAGAAGATGCTTCCGAAGGACAATGAATTGCCCGCCACTACCTACGAAGCAAAACAAGTTGTCTGTCCTATGGGGCTAGAAATCGAGAAGATACATGCATGTCCTAATGACTGCATCCTCTACCGTGGCAAAGAGTACGAGAAATTGGATGCATGCCCGGTATGCCATGCATCGCGATATAAGATCAGGCGAGATGACCCTAGTGATGTTGAGGGCGAACGTCCGCAGAAGAAAATCCCTACCATGGTTATGTGGTATGCTCCTATAATACCACGCTTGAAACGTCTGTTCAGAAACAAAGAACATGCAAAATTGTTGCGATGGCACAAAGAAGATGGTAAGGTAGACAATATGTTGAGACACCCTGCTGATGGGTCCCAGTGGAGAGCAATCGACAGAGAATTCTCAGAGTTTGCAAATGACGCAAGAAACTTAAGGTTTGCTTTAAGTACAGATGGTATCAATCCTTTTGGAGAGCAGAACAATAGTCATAGCACTTGGCCTGTTACTCGAAGTATCTACAACCTTCCTCCTTGGTTATGCATGAAGCGGAAGTTCATTATGATGCTGGTGCTCATCCAAGGCCCGAAGCAACTTTGGCAATGACATGATCGATGTGTACCTAAGACCACTTATTGACGAACTTCTCATTTTGTGGAATAAAGAAGGTGTGCGTGTGTGGGATGAGTACAAACAGAACACTTTGATCACGAGCATTGTTGTTTCGTAACAACCAATGATTGGCCTACTCTAAGTAATCTTTCGGAGACAGTCAAACAAGGGATATAATGCATGCACACACCGCCGGTGATATTAGAGGTGTATTCTTGAAAAAAATGTTGAAAGGTCGTGTACCTTGGTCATCGTCGATTTCTTCCGCAAATCACCCGTAAGAAAGAAAGGCAAG